TGCTCTATACAACGTTTATGTACAACTACTGTATATTGGCCTCCAACATTTCCACACCTAGCATATACACGGTTTATAGAAATAGTGATAAAACATCACCTTCCAGATAGCATAGGTAATGAACTTATTAGTTGGTTTAACGACTACAAGATGGATCCAAATGTAGTTCTGCTTACCAGTATGAAGCAAGGTTGAGCATTACTTGATTCAATGAATATTCCGCACATATTATATACCAAGACAGTCATCATAGAACATAATGGCACCAAATATGTATTATATCACAGACCACTTTTTGATGCAATTAAAGAGCTATTAAGCAATCCTGATATATTTAAACATTGTGTTTTTAACTATATGCCAAAATTAGTCGCTAATGACAAAGGTAAATTAAAACATTGTTATGGAGAACAATATAGCAGAAAGTGGTAAAAGCGGGTCCAAAAGTCGATTAACGAGAATGCAAAGATCTTATCAATTATTCTTTACTTGGATGCCACAACGTGTAATGCATTGGAAAAACATCTGAACATCCAGTGTATTTAACATTGGGAAATATTCCTAATTGGTATCACAACAAACCTGATGCTAAAGCACTATTGTCATATTTACCAATATTCAAAAGTTCTGATAATTAAAAAAAATGTTCCACTTTACCCCATTTAAATACTAGCTTTTTCATCGCTCAATAGAGATTCTTATTGAACTGATTAAATCAAAATTCAAAATGGAGTTAAATTACATACAGATGGTGGTCTATATTGGTGTTATCCATTTTTGTCACAAGTACTAGATGATCTCCCTAAATATTCGACTATGACATTAACATACAATTCTGTAAACTGCAATATGCCATATTACTTTTGCTTAACTTCCAAAGAAGAATTCAATAATCTGTTGATCAATTGCAAATTCATTATTTTACACACACCAAAAACAATGAAACGGGTAATAGAGTAAAGTCAGGCCAAAGAATATTCAATACATGAAATGGAAAATCCTTTTTAGAGTCTTCCATATGTATTACTATTAGTGATGTCTGATGAAACCATGTGATGCTAATTGTCACATGATACAGTATATGAAAATCAACATCTATTTTGATTTTTTATAAATTATAGCATGTGATAATTAGCATCACATGGTTTCGTCAGGCATCACTAATTACTATTGTAAATACTATATATACCACAATATATAATAATTATAATATGTAAATCAGCAAAAATAAATAGCTGTAAACCTCCGCAAGTTTTTATACGAGCGTAAACTTACGAAAATTTACGATTAGTTTGGAGTATTACGTAGGTGTAATAATTACAAAAGTTTACGCTATAGTAAC